GGGGCACGGAGCGCCCGGGGTTGGCCTCGCAGCTACCGGGAACCCCCGGGTGAGCGAAGCTGGTGCCGGGGCCAGCACAGCTCCTCACCAGCCTCTCACCCTCCACTCCTCTCCCCACAAGTTGGGGTGTAAGAGCGGGAGGAGCTGGAGCTTCGCCGGCGCGTCTCACCTCGGGGCTCCGAGCCCTTCTGCCTGGCGCCGGAGGAACACGGTTTGCCTCGGAAGCTGCAACTCTGTTACCAAGTTTTGTACGTGCTTTAGCAGTCCTGTACGGGAATCACCTTAAAGCAGGTTAACAGAACATTTATTTTTGTATCTACGAACAAGACGTAGGCATTTTTTATTGCGGCCGAGCAGTGAATTAAAGGCAGAATTGCAAAGAGCAACAGTCGCTTTCACCTATTCTGTGCATGGATATGTTTACACTTACGTGTCTTTTCATATATAACACATTACATTGGTGAAAGTTTGAGGCTCCCCATGCTACAAAGAATGAAGGAAATCAAAAGGAGCAAAGAGGTTTTACTTCTCCTTGCCCTGTGTGCAGGCAATTTAAAACTACACACACATATGATCTGAGCTTGTTGCTAACTGCAGCAATTAAAAGTGCACTGTTTGCCTACTTGTGCAGCTTTTGCATGGTGTCAAGTACACCTTTCGGGTTGTCACATCCACATGTAACAGTCCTGGCGTTTGGCGTTGCATGTGTTTCTTTTTTACATTTTCCAGTTAACAGAGCCTTCCCCGGGCTCTCTTCCCTTGCCTGTACAAAGATACCGTTACTTAAAAAAGCCCCTAACTTAAATATTATTTGCATTTGAGCTACATCATAACTTTCTTTTAGGTATTATCTCCTAGTGCTTAATCAAGTTGTGAGAATGCCTATATCTTTCTTTAAAAAAAAATAACTGAAATTGCCATCCATTTTCACCTGTTAGAGGTCAGTAGGACTTGATATTCAGTTTTATCGTTTTAGTCCTTCTGTGCAAGGTTGTTTTGATGTGTTGCAAGTAATTTATATAAAGAAAAATATTTTTACGTTGACATTAGCTACATCAAAAGGCAAATTTGCTGTAGTGACTCCATCAATTAAAAAGTACTTGCCTACAGTAACATGACCTTGCAAATGACATCGATAGTTAATATGATCATTAGTCATTAACAGTATTATTATATTCAAAAATGTAAATTTGTTGCCAGAATCCACATATTTACCGCTCCGCATGTTTTATTTTTCAGTGTTTTCACATTTTGTATAAAGTGGTCAATTAATTTACATCCTTTAATCTTTTACAGAATTATTTTCAGCTTGCTTAGTTTGGTCGAATGGACATAAGGAAAATATAAGGGATTTTTTTGTTTTGTTTTGGGTTTGGGTTTTGGGAGGTTTTGTTGGGTTTTTGTTTAGAAAATTTGTCTATAATTCTAGAGTAACAGAATGTAAACTACGGAAGTCTGATGAAAGTAGTCTCTGGAGCGTACTCATTATTCAAATATACCAATAATCAGAACAAATCTTATACTTATCCCACAAATTCAAATTGAAGGTTTCTCATACACCGAAAACTTGGTAAGGAGTAAATCTCATTAATTCATTTTTGTTTTCTTCTAGATTTGTCGGCATTAATGCATCTGACATAAACTACTCAGCTGGTCGATATGATCCATCTGTTAAACCCCCATTTGATATAGGGTTTGAAGGTGTTGGTGATGTGGTAGTGTTAGGACTCAGTGCTAGTGCAGATTATACAGTGGGTCAAGCTGTGGCCTACGTGAAAGCAGGTTCCTTTGCTGAATACACAGTTGTGCCTGCCAAACAAGCAGTTCCTCTACCCTCTGTGAAACCCGAGTTTCTTACTTTAATGGTAAGTGGCGCTACAGCATACATCAGTCTGAAAGAGCTGGGAGACCTGTCTGAAGGCAAGAAGGTTCTGGTGACAGCAGCGGCTGGAGGAACGGGCCAGTTCGCTGTGCAACTTGCAAAGAAGGCAAAATGCCATGTAATTGGAACCTGCTCCAGTGATGAAAAGGGTGGTTTTCTGAAATCCATTGGCTGTGACCATACGATCAACTATAAAACTGAAAACGTTGAATCTGTGCTTAGGAAGGACTACCCGGAAGGTGTGGATGTGGTGTATGAATCTGTTGGGGGAAAGATGTTTGACTTGGCTCTTAATTCCTTGGCTGTCAAAGGGCGCCTGATAATTATTGGGTTTATCGCTGGCTACCAAAACCCCACTGGCCTCCAGCCCATTCAGGCAGAATTATTGCCAGCAAAACTGTTGAAGAAGTCTGCCAGCATCCGGGGTTTCTTCTTGAACCATTACCTTTCTGAATACAAAATGGCTCTGAAGCATTTGCTCAAGATGTACGAAAGAGGAGACCTGGTTTGTGAGGTGGACTTCGGAGACATGTCTCCAGAGGGCAAGTTCACTGGCTTGGAGTCTGTGTTCCGTGCTGTAGATTACATGTACATGGGAAAAAACATTGGAAAAATTGTAGTTGAATTACCTCACTCTGTCAACAGTAAGCTGTAAAAACAGAACAATGATATAAATCAGAAGAGAGAAAATGGGCACTTTATGCCTCAGATTTACTAGAAACAATTTCTTTTTTTTAAGCTTAGTAATGGATACTATATTAAAAAACAGCATTAAAGTGTTAATAAAAAAGGGTTTTTTTGGGGGGTTTTGTTTTATTTCTTAAAAGTGCTTAAATCAGTGGTTGTAGCACAGACTTAATGGGTCTGTGTTTGATTCTGTCACTTAGGTTAGCATGAGACGAGAACAGTGTTCTTGACAGAATAAGTCTTGATGCAGAGGCAGTTTTAGTCTATCAGACTGATTTGATAAAACTTCATATATAGTTCGGCTCAGAAAAAAAAATCTTTCAGCAATTTGAATTCCCTGATTTAAAAATAAAATTGTTAGAACAAGACTAAACAAATAAAAAAATAAATATATCTAAATTAACTAAAGACTAAATAAAAGACTAAAGACTAAAGTAAGACTAAGTAAATATATCTTTGGGTTGCTCTACTAATCTCTTGAAGCTTCTGGGAAAAAAAGTGCTCTTGATTTTTTTGTCACAAATATGATATTCATAATTCAGTTTCATCATGGATCATTCCTTGAGTGGTTACACAGGGAAATTGATCCTCCAATTCTGACATGTCAGTAATATTAAGCAACTTGACTTTTTTTTTTAATTATGTCTTTCATAACTATAAACAACTGTGCAATTTTCTTTTAAATCTTTAACTACAAGTTGCAACATAATCTCATTTTCTTGCCTTTTCATTTTCTACTGTTACTGTTTACTGTCCAGTCTCCCCTTTAGTCAGTATTACAAGATTGTTGGAGTGGGATTTTGAGCCATGTTCATGTGTCTTCAGGTCCTGTATATTTTTTGAAGATTAAATAAAGTTTTAAAAGCTATTTCTATATTCGTGGCATTTATTCATATTTAAGTTTCTTGCTGACTAGCTCTTTTGTAGATAATCTCTGTTTTGTAGAGTTGTTTGACTGATCATTCTTGATGTGACTTCCCATAATCAGGCTGCTACTTGTACTTTTACTGAATATTGCTTCTGCAGAAGCCCTTTTACAAACAGCAAGACCATCTTAAATCTACAGTTGCAGTGCCTGGTACACATATTGATGTTCAGCCATAGATTATCTAGTGGGTGCAGTTTAAAGGTTTTGTAAAGTTTTGAAAATTCTTCTCTTCCTCACTTGATAGTTATTATTGATGATACATACAGTGGGAATTCCAGCTACAAGCATAATATTTTCCAGAACAATAAAGTACTTGAAACTGCTTGCTCTACAAGTGTTTTTTTTCCATAGCAAACGTTTAAGTTCTCACGGACCAATTTTACCACATCTTTTGAAATTATATTCCTTTGTATGCAGTTGGAGAGGTGGAAATTTCCTAAGATCATACACCTAATAGTAAACATAATGATGGACTGATAATGTCTAGGGTTCAAAGGAAAAAATCCTGGATGAACTTAATTTTGGAGCATTATTCAGGAGTACATGAAATTTTTGAAAGTAACGTAGGCAAACTTGTGTTTTATTCAGTAGTACAGATGGCAGAAAAAGTATTTTTAATTTTGATTTAGTGCACCCTTACTGTAACTTTTTTGTGCATATGTCATTAGCATGATAAAGAATTGTGTGCAATGGAGAACTGTCCCTTTTTTGGGGCCTTGTCTGACTATTAGGTTTAGTCTCACTTTGGTGGATTTTGGGGAAAGGCAGAATGGCTTGAATCAATTACCTTTTCTCTTTCGCTGAAGGTGAACCATGATTTTTGTTTTCACCAACATCTGCTGTTAGAAATATACTGCCTCTTTCACCTCTAATATTACAAATATTGTGGTGGTTGTGTGTTTTGCATAATTAAAAAGGTATACTGGCCTTCCATCTGGATGCTAGGAAGATGCAAACACTCAAGTACCATACAAGATCAGGGCATACAAAGTTCTCACTATTTTATTCCTAGGCACATAGTGTGTTTTCTTGTTCAGAGACCAGGCGATGTCCTCAGTCAATAAATACATCTTGAAAAAAAAAAGGTTGTTTGGGATGTACTATGGCAAAAAAAAAGAATATAATTGGTTACATCTGTGATATGTACGGAAGAGTTGCATGGGTAACAATTTTTCAAATTAAATTCCTACAGTCAATGCCAAAACCCATCCAAATGGCCCAATTTTCAGAGGTGTTGATCACTGTCAATTCAATAGTTTTAGTGTTTCTGAGGCAGTGGATTCCATATGTTATTGTCAAAAAATTCTTGCAACAGGATTCTGTTTGGATGTACAGCATCCTACGTTCTTTTTAATACATTACTTCATACATAACATTGAGCAATGCAACTGCCCCAGGCTTTGTCACTGATCGAAATATGGGAAGGGAGGAACCTTTGGAAGTTTCACACATATATATTCAGATATGACATTTTGTTGGTTTTAATTTTGGCTTCAGGCTTATTGTTTAGCACTTTCATGCTGATCACAGTGTTAATAAAAAGTTTACATTTGTTATATGCAGAACTTGTATGGCTAATGTACAAATTCCATAGCCCTTTTGGTGCTCTGGTTAGGCTATGGCCATTGGGCTTGTCCTTTTCATCAAATGTCTAGGTTAAGCTGAAGGGGCAACTCAGGATAAAGGGGGTTGCTCTTCCACAAATGAATCTGGAACGAATAAGTAATTTTTGTTTATAAAGATACAACTTCTGTCCTTTAAATTGCTGGAGAGCATTGTTGATGGAGAGAGGATGAAAAGTATTTCTGAAACATGCAGATAAGGTTTTCTGATGAGTTTCATAATAAATTTGGGTTTGCAGGGGGGAAGAAAAGGCCAAATTCTCTTTATTTAAAAGTATATTCTGCAAACTTACAGTTATGGGAGCAGGGCTGACTTTGAATAAGTAAGCTATGATGGATTTAAATAATGTTTAAATATTAGATGGCTAGGAAAATGTATATGGCATGCACACACTGAGAGGTTTAAATGATGATAGGACATTGAACATACAAGGAAAAGAAATACTGTAGAGTCACAGCAAGGGATTAATAACAATACACTTAATATGCTTGCAAAAAAGGTGTATTAAAAGCTGTGTGCACAGTGGGGACTTAAATGATTAAAAATAATAATACATTTGCCTTGGAAGTAGTAAGTATACTATATGTAGAGAGCAGGGATTTAAATAATAATACTATTAATAATAGCAGCTCATTGAGATGTGGTTGCTAGCACTACATCCTAATTTTACCTTTCTAAATGAATTTGCTACAGAGGAATCTGGCATTGTTTGCTGAGTCTAATAACCGAATTTCCCTTTCCTACACACATATGCTTCCATGGAAAAACAACAAAGAACTAGATGAAGAGCTGGCTTTTTTCTTGAGTCTGTCACATGTGTGCATACGCACGCGCACACAGACACACACATACTCGCTCTCTCCTGGCCTGCAACCCTCAGCACATTTTACAGATATGCTTCATCCTTAATTGCTATGCTGGAATCTCCTAATACCTTTTTGAATTAAGTTATGTTTCTACCAAGCAATAGTTGCCTATGTGTTTGTACGTGTGCGTATGTGTGTATGTGTGCATATATATATATATATATGGATAATGTATATATTTAATAAGTGGATAGGAATAGCTGCTGTGTCATGTAAATACGAATAATTACAGTCTCTCAAGGAAAAGTTTGCAGTAGTGTTTGCAGATATATCTATTCCTACTTCTGTCTGAGGAGTAAAGAAATTTCTCTGCTGAATAGCTGTTAGTATCTATTTTACAAGATTTACTCATTTTCAGGTACCTAATGTAGCTGCTAGCATGCATGCACGACAATACAATTTATATGGTAAATGGAACCAAATAATGGCTTCACTGAATGTTATGGCTGCACTGAAGGGAAATGTCACGGTAAATAGCTGCCAAATTATGGATCATGCCGAAGTGTCACAACTGCACTAAAGACAAATAGCACTAGAGGCTATTGCCACTGTGACGCTTTTGAGTTATGAAGAAGAGGAGCAGCCTGATGTGAGCCTCTTTGTGTCCTCATTATAGCAAAGGGTTACTGGTGCAGTGTACAAGAAAACCTAGTCCTACGTGGTGGCTAGTTATTAATCTGTTCTTTTCGAATTGAACAGCTGTAGCAAACCAGAAAATCTTTTCCTTGCTTTATGAATACATATAAACACATACAAACAAAGAAAAACCTGCAGGTTTTATGAATGTAAATGTGTACGGGAAATGACTGGTAATGGAAAAATGTTGTAATAAAATAATCTAATCAAAGAATATTATTAAATTTAATATCGTATGTGTCTGAAAGCTTTAGTTGCTTCTTATGCAGATAGATGTGTGAAATATAAGCAATAATGCACTTTCTCTCTTTGTAAAGACTTGAGTAGTAAGGACATTACCAACTAAATTGCTTCTTCTAAACTGAAGTGTGTCCCGGTTTCTTTCATTTTAATGGGAGGGTAATAAAGATGAAAGACTAACATTTTAACTGATGGATCCCTTAAGCTACAGAATAGAAATTTATTATGTTTTGAGGGAATATGCTAAATCCTGAAATGTGGAAAGAAGCAGGGAAATCCCGTGTAAAATAAAAGCAAAGTAACCTTTTTTCATCATTATTATTATTACATACTTTTATGAATGGAAAGCTACATACTGCTGTTACATAGACTGAGAAAACAATACTGATCTTTCTTTTTTTGGCAAAAAAAAAAAAAAGAAAAAAGTTATTTGGAGGAAAAAAAAAAAAAAGATTTGGAAATGGAGGGACATAGCTCAGCAAGTGGTCACTTCTTTCCGCGATCACTTTTCAAACCCTGCCTGCAGTGTTTAGGGAAGTGAGTTTGATGCTCTGCACACTATTGTACACACCACAAACGTACCATCCATAACACAGCACAATTGTCAGTTGCTGTTTTACAGAGGGGCCAGGGCTGAACAATCATGGTGGATAAATTACTTTTCTATTCTACGGCAAGTGGCTTTCCTACCATGTGAAGCTTGAGGTCATTGGCAGGGCAGCGAGGGGGAAGCTTATATATTAGTTAAAACTAATGCACTAATAGTGTTCAGATAGAGGAACTATACCAATTAATTGAAGCTAGGTTTGTTCTTCAAGATGGGGGGGGTAATGACTTTGAGAGTTATTGTACCAAAAGACATGCATGTACGTGTATGTATTTTGCTTTCTTACTACTCCACTTCTTGCTACACTATTCCTATAGGTAACTTGATTTTTTTCCTGGTTTTTTTCATTTAATATCTGCATTAAAGCCTTCAATATGCAGCATTGCAGGAATCCAGGCTTCAGTAATAAGAAAATAAAATATTTTAAAACTTTATAATACATTCTGCTCACAGTTTTTACAGTGTA